AACTGGGTTTATGCCCATTCCAAAAACATGTGACCCAACAGAATGCAGAAATCATCAGACAATATGATTAATATTACATGGAAGTAAAATTTTGCTAAAGATAATTCAAAATGGCTGCAATAGTACATTTACAAGGAACTACCAGAGAGTCTAGCTGAATTCAGACAAGGACATGAAATGAGGGTTATCATTGTTGATGTCAGATGGATCTTAGCTGAAAGCAGAGAATATCAGAAAGATGTTTACCTATGCTTTATTGACTATGCAAAGCCTTTCAACTCTGTGGGTCATGACAAACTATGGACAACATTGTCAAGAAAGGTATTCTAGAACACTTAATTGTTCTCATGAGCAATCTGTACATACCCCAAGAAGCAGTTGTTCAAACAGAACAAAGGGACACTGAATGGTTTAAAATCAGGAAAGGTGTGTGCCAGGGTTGCACTCTTTCACCATACTTAATTCAATATGTATGCTGAGCAAATAATCTGGAAAAAAAAACAAAAACTGGATTATATGAAGAAGAATGTGATATCAAGATTAGAGAAAGACTCATTAACAACCTGCAATATGCAACCTTACTTGCTAAAAGTGAAGAGGACTTAAAATACTTACTGATAAAGATCAAAGACCACAGCCTTTAGTATGGGTTACACCTCAAATGTAAAGAAAACAAAAATCCACACCACTAGACCAATAAATAACATCATGATAAATGGAGAAAAGATTGAAGTTATAAATAACATCATGATAAATGGAGAAAAGATTGAAGTTATCAATCTTTTTGTAGTTGCTGGAATCCCCTATCAACACTCATGGAAGCAGCAGTTAAGAAATCAAATGAAGTATTGCACTGGGCAAAACTACTGCACAAGACCTCTTTAAGAGTTCAAGAGCAAAGATGTCAGATTGAAAACTAAAATGCACCTGACCCAAGCCATGGTATTTTCAACGTGTCATATGCATATGAAAATTAGACAGTGAATAAAGAACACCATTGTTGTTGTTGTTGTTATGTGCCATCGAGTCAGTTCCGACCCATAGCGACCCTGTACAGGGTTTCCGAGGGTGTAAATCTTTACGGGAGTAGAAAGCTTCATCTTTCTCCCGCGGAGCAGCTGGTAGTTTCGAACCGCTGACCTTAAGGTTCGCAGTCCGATTCATAACCACTACGCTACCAGAGCTCCTTAAAGAAGACCATACAAGAATTGAATTGATGCATTTAACTTCCAGTGTTGGAGAAGAATATTAAAAGTACCATGGACTGCTAGTAGAGCAAACCAATCTGTGTTGGGAAAAGTACTGTCAGAATGTTCCTTGGAAGCCAGGATGGCTAGACTTTGTCTCTCATAGCTTGGATATATTATCAGGATGAACCAATCCCTGAAGGAGGACATTATGTTAGGTAAAGTGGAAGGTCAGCAAAAAAGAGGAAGACCCCAAACAAGATGGACTGGCACAGTGGCAGCAGCAATGGGTTCAAGAGTGACATTGATTCTGAGGATGGTGCAGAACAGGCTTTCTTCTGTTGTGTACAGGGTTGCTAGGAGTTGGAAGCAACTCAATGGTACCTAAAAACAAGGGTAACATTTGCTTTACTCTGGGTTCTTCGACAAGCAGAGACCACTGTGTGATTAAACACAAGGGATTTCGTTAGGAGAGAGCAGGAAAAACTGGAGAGCCATCAACACAGGTTTAACCCTAAGAGCAGGAGAGAGAGGGAGGCTGGGTGAATTGTAGCAGTCTGCAGCACACTGAGGTGGATTTAGCTAGTCTGTTGGGGGGCATCAGCTCCTTGGCCAGCAGAGTTGTCTGATATCTCTGAGGTACCTCTGCTTTGGTATTTCTCTGTTGTTGGCTGGGAGCCATCAGGAGTGGCTTGGTACAAACTGGGTCATGGATTTCAAGTTGCATCAGCTGGCGGTCTTCAAGAGCCTCTCCCATGACCATCCATTCTGTTCACCAGGGCGCCAGCACCTCACAATCCCTGGCACATAGCATAGCAGATGCACAAAATCACCACGGAATGGATGAACAATGAATGACAGCAAGACCGTGAAGCTGTGTGTGCATCCCTGGGATGCACCTCTCCTGGCCTCGCCCTGTTACAGCTGGCTCAGTGTCCAATCAATGCAAACCAGACACTTGCCTCTCCCACCCTCCACATGAAAGGACGCTGCTATTGGGCTATTTCTGTTTGCACTGCTAGCATCTGGAATATGGAACTGGGCCCACATCTTGCTCTCAGGCCCATTTCTCCTCATTGGTTCTTATTTATTAGCAGAAAGAAACTGGAGACATTCCTTAGAGGGGACTCAGGGACTGGGTTGGAGACTTGATGGGAGGAAAGTATCTGAGCTGAGGTTAGCCTGAAACCTGCACTGGCAGCCCCATGGTGGTCAGGCTGTCCTGGGCTCAAACCTGACCCCGACTCACTGTGGGGCCGTGGGAAACCTCAGTGCTCCCAGAATCCCTAGTTTCTGTGTCACACGGAAACTCCGGGAGCTGAACCTGATGATGTTTATAAACCCAGTTCCCTTCTAGCCTTGGCAGACATAGCAGACTCACAAGAGGTGCTAGTTGCTACAGAGTCCCTTCCAACTTATGGCACCCAGGTGTGCAGAGCAGAACTGCTCCAGTGGGTTTTTAAGATTGGGAGCTTTTGGAAATAGACCACCAGGTCTATTTCTTCTACAATGCCGCTAAGTGGATTTAAACCTTTAGCTAGCAACCAAAATGTTAAACATTTACATCACCCAGGGACTCCTTTAAAACCACTGTTGATGTTGTTAAGTGTTGTCAAGTAGGTTCTGACTCATAGCGACCCTGTATAGGGTTTCTGAGGAGCGGCTACTGGATGTAAACCACAGATCTTGTAGCTCAAACAGACTCTACAGTACAGCACATTATCCCACAGCGCCACACCAGGCCTCCACACATTAGGAGATGGCATTCTAGAACCACTGAGCCTTGGAAGCTGTGGCCAGAAGAAAACTTTTTCTCAAAGCCCACAGGTGCACTAGGCAGAGGGCTGGATGTCTTCTGTGTCTGCCCTCATATGGTAGGCCTGTGGGGAAAGTGCCCCATTCCCAGAGGATGCGGAGTCACTGGCCCGAGGTCACACAGGGTTAGCATGAACACAAGGGCTGCGCAGGAGAAGGACAGTTTGCACATGCCCTGTGTGTCCTTAACCCGAGTCCGACTCTGCTCTGGACAGTAAGATTGCTAGTTCTGGGTTCCTGTACCCAGAAACAAGGTACAGCTGGACCCTGAGGAGGAAGTCCTTGTCTTGCTGCTCTCCCTGGGAGCAGAGCCAAGAAGGAAGGGGGACCAGGGGCAGAGTTTACACAACATCCCATCCAGGCAGGATGGCAAGCAGAGCAGCCTTCATTTGGCTCACGCCTGGTTTTTAAAGGTGATTAACTGCTATATCCTGCTGGGGTCCTGGAGTGGCTCTGTGGGATAATGCGCTGGACTGCAAAGTCAGTTTGAACTGAAAGGTTGGCAGTTCAAGTTCACCAGCCGCTCCTAGGAAACCCTATACTGACTAGGTCGCTAATGGGTTGGAACCAACTCAACCACACTTAACAACAACTGCTATATCTTCAAATCAAGAGGTTTTCCATTAAAAGGTAGTTTTGGAAGTTGTCCTGGAAGATCAGAAGGGCTGGCCACCTGAGTCCATGTCCACAGAAGCCAATGGGATGGAAGTTGTGTAACCCAAGCCTTCATACAGAATGCTCTGCCCTCTGCTTACAACAGGCCGTCTCTCGCCTTCAGGTCTAATGACGGCTCACAGAGAGAAACACAGGTTTTACCACACATCAGAGCTTTATGTGTTCCACACACATCAACACACGTGTGCACACACAGGCCTGACCACTGTTTTGTGAACCAATCCTCACCTTTCCTAAACATGCAGCACTGTGATGCTGTCTGTGCACTTTCGTTTCTCAGCACGAGCTGAGGCCCACTACACTCGCCTCAAGACCCACAGGAGTTGTAGTGTGCCATCTGGAACCCATCAGCTTGGAAAAAACTACTGGGGCAGCGCAAAGACAACAATGTGTGCGGGGAACTTACACTGGGGTCCAGAGACCCGTTCTCACTCACTGTGTACCTTGGGCACGCCTCCTTCCCCTCACGACCTCAGTTTTCCCAGTTCCAAGAGTTCCCTTTGACCTAGTCCAAAGGCCCCAGAGCCTGCACTGGAGAAGCTGAGTTCTCACCTCCTCCCGGCTCCTGCTGGACCTACAAGGCCAGGGCTATGGTTCTGGAGGGCATCCAAAGAGACATATAGCTGAGGTGCACACTGGGAAAGGAGGGAAGAAGAGGACAAAGTAGCAAGAGAAGACAGTATCACAGAGTGAACACCTGTTTACACTTCTTTCTTCCACCCCTGAGGTGAGCTCCCTTTTGAGGACTAATCTGTGCTAGATGTCAAGAAAGGTTGGACTCCATGTTCAGACACACACGTGACATTCCGACATTGCTGTCAAACTCACACATGTACAGGTAAGGCACCAAGAGGTTTTTACTTGAAATATTTTCCTACAGTGCACATGTGCTACTTTTATAGTTTTAAAAAAAAAAAACCCACAACTGATAACAATTCTTTTTTTAAAAAGGTGCAGAACTAATCACAGTGGAAGATGAAATAAAGTGTCCACTTTGGGACAGGTCATCCAGGTGAGTCTGAAAGCCCCAGTGTGGTCATTTGTTCCCTTTCTGCAGTAATGACACAGTCTGTGTCTTCGACTCCATCTGAGCATACTCTTGTCACTACCAACTCTCCACGTGGGCATGTGACAAGACCAGGAGCCCAAGAGGAATCAAGTCAGCAAAATTAAGTTAATTTATGAAGTTATAATAAAACCCACCCCAATAATAACCCACCCCCACAAGTAGGGTAATGGAAACAGAAAGGAGAGTTTGCCCAGTGCAGTGAAGGCAGCCACCCCACAGAACATGGGGCTACCGGAGGGGCCCGAGGCCTCAGTGGCTTGCAGTGTGGCTGGCCTTCACATGGCGAAGGTGGTGAAGAAGATGTGCATCTTGGCCAGGAAGGTGGTGAGGGAGCCCTGCCGCCATAGCTTCATCTCAACATCCAGGGCAAAGTCCCGGGGCTCAAGCACAGAGCGCTGCAGGAAGACGACGCCTGTAAAGGAGTTGAGCCGGCGTGTGCCAAAGTAGCCCTCCTCATTGCCCTTGGTGATGGTCAGGTAGATGGTGTCCCCCGCGAAGGCCGGTGCTGGGCTGATGCGGAAGATGTTTTCAGGCACCAGGAGGCCCGTCTGGAAGTTGAGCTGGTAGTACGTGATGTGCACAGGAGAGTTCTGGCACTTCATCAAGTCATGGCACATGGTGCGCTCACACTTCCTGCAGGGATGGCAGGATGGGTGGAGCATGGTCAGCAGGGCCCCAGGAGGCACAATGGATTCCAAGCCCTCTCGCCCCTGACTGACCTCCCCACCTACTCTATCCCTCCCTGTGCATGTAATCAGGCCTCTGTTGAGGCTTAGAGCCTGTTGGCTTGGGCTCAGATGCCAGCTCTACCAACTGCCATGGAGCCAAGTTCAACAATGGCAACCCCATGTGTGTCAGAGTAGAACTGTGCTCCACTGGGTTTTCAGTGGCTGATCTTTCTAAAGGAGGTCACCAGGCCTTTTCTCTCTGGGTGGGTTCAAACTCCAGTATTTTCGGTTAGCAGCTGAGTGTCTAATTAAACCATCTGCCCCACCCAGGGACTCTACCTCTCACTAGACAGTGGTAAACCACATCACCTCTCGAGGACTCTGTTTGCTCATCTGTAAGCTGGATGGATAACAACCGCATGGTTTAACTGGAGGATGAGGTAAGTTCATAAACATACCACACTTAGCGGAGTACATGACATGGGTCATTGGCAGCTCTTGTCCATTCCTTCTGTTCATCCGCCTACCCATTCATTCATTCGCCCTTCATTTCTACCTGTCTGCTTGCTGCCCATTTTTATTGTCTTTCCTTCATTAAAATCAAAATCTCTTGCACACATTCAGCTTGCAGAGCTCAGGATTCCCCAGTCATGGTGGTTTTATTTTAATTCTTTTGAAATTCTGTTTGTTCCACACTAGACTCTCCGCCTAAGTCATTGGCTCTCCTGCCATAGGAGGGGCTGCCTCCTTAAGCACCAGGGCGAGCGGCGCCTGTCCCCACGGAAGCCTGGAGGCTTGGCTACACTAGGGGATGACAGGAGAGGACATCTGCCAACCCTCAGCTTAGAAATCTCACAGGCCCTGTCATCTCCATCATTAACTATCTGACTGAGCAGCTAGCTCCCTGCCTCCAAAAAGATGCTGCTCAGACATTCGGGCTCAAGTGTGGTACAGGGTCATCTGGAATGCAGTGGCCTGCCTGGCATATCACAGATAAAGACAACAGGACTTACTTCAGGCCAGGCACTGAGCTAAGGAATGACATGAATCCTCACAAAGTCCCTTGGGTGTGCTATTTACATCCCCATGTTACAGATGAGACAACTGAGGCCCAGAGAGTTGAAATCACCTTCTCCAGCTCCCACAGACATGCTGACTAAGTGTCTCAAGACATTCCCTGGGGCCATGCTGGCACTAAGCAGACAATGATGACATACCCACACTATGAAATACCATGCAGTCACACAAGCAGGAAGGTGACCTGCAAGGCCAGCTAACAGACAAGTAAGTCCAGGTGTGCAAAAGTGGTGCCACACACATTTGGCTAATGTGCCAAATTGGAAGAGGAGTGGGCAGTCATGCAAATGCAATTTACTGCAGAGATTAGGGGACAAAAATTTTTACTCTGGCTTGTATACGTTTACTGTTTGGGGTTTCTTCTAGAATGTATACAGTTGATCCTCATTATTCATGGACTGAGAACTCACCTACTCAGTACTATTCATGTGTAGCACCCAAATTAATCCTAGTGCACTTCCAGGGCCATCCAGGGGCATGCACAGAACAGCAAAAGGTGAGCCGCCTGCTGCACACATTCCCAACTGAGGTCAAACCAGGTAACTATGCAAACAAGTGTCCTTTCCATGGTCTATTTAGTGCCATATTTTTTTGCATTTCTGGGCCTTCTGTTGGTGATTTTGTTGTTAAAAATGATGTTCAAAAGTGTCGTGCTGAAGTGCTGTCTAGTGTCCCTAAACACACGAAGACTGTGATGTGCTTTAGGGAGAAAATATGTGTGTTTTATTCAGGTATGAGTGATAATGCTCTTGGCCACAAGTTCAATGTTAATGAATCAATAATCGATATGAACAAAGGTGTCTTTAAATAGAAAGACACATCAAACAAGGTTCTGTAGTGTCATGTTGAAGATGTGGTGACCAGCAGAGACTTACAGGGGCCTCCCCGGGCATTTCCACTGGAGAGTGGTCCAGTCCCGTGGTGACTTTACAGACATAACTACCAGGAATAGTGACAATCAACCATATCATCTTGTGAGTTAAAACATTTAAATCTGGAAAATACTTTACAAAATAACACCAAATGGAAAACAAACTATATTATAGGAAGAACAAAACAATGTTAAGAGAACACATGTCAAAAAAAGAAACGGGTGGGAAATACAGCAAAAACACCAAGAACATCAATCAGGCAGGTGGTCTCCAGCCTGCAAGATGCCCCACAGCCACCTCCCAGGATTCCCAGCCTGTGCGGGCCCCTCTCAGCACTGGACTATATAGCAAAGTAAGGGGATGTCACTTCCAAGTTCAGGTTCAGTCCTGTCTGGACCACTTGCTATGGGGGAAGTTGTGCCACAAGCAGCATCTATGTGGCAGGGAACTGAGGCCATGGGAGGAAGCAGTTGGGTCCTATAGCCTGGCAACAGCTGAACTGCAACTTCATGATCCTCAGTCAGAATCACCCAGCTAAAATGCTCCTAGATTCCTGACTCTCAGAAACCATAAGAAGCAGTAAATGTTTACCATTTTTAATGGCTAATTATTGAGAAATTTTGATACTAAACAATTGATATCTAATAGGCGTGTGTATATATGTGTGTTCGTGCATGCATGTGTGCTCACATGTAAAAAACAAAGAAAGGAGGTGATATTTCTTGGGAATCTTTCCACCCGTGTTCTCCAATACTCAGAGCTTCCAGCTTTTGGTAAATGAAGACCAAAGCTCAGGTAGTCAGGAGCTGTGAACAGTGGGTGGTTGTCCAGACAGGGCCTACCCCAGGTTAGTACAAGCATCTGAGTGGGGTTAGGTTAGGCTAAATGGGACACTCACGTTTCAGAGATGTGGACGTAGTTTGGCGGGCACTCAAAGCGTAGACAGCGGAAGCTGCCCTGAATGTTGTAGCAGGTTTCGGACTCGGAGCAGTTGTGGGTACCCAGTGCACACTCGTCCAGGTCTGGAGGGAGGGGATGAAAGGCAAGGTGAGGGGTACCCCTGGCTGTGACACTCAAGTGTGAACTGCCCCCCCCCCCCCTTACCACATCCACTAAAATCCTGGATCCCAGAACAGCTGGTCCTGACTTGGGAACCCACTAGCTCAGGGGTCAGAACACACAGGTACACCTGGTCTCTACTGGGACCAGCAGCCGGAGGTGCCTTGCTTTGAAATTAAAATCATCTTATGCCACCTCCTCAAATGACGTCCCAGATGCCTAAAGTAACAACTAAAGTCCCTGCCATGGACGCCAAGCCATAGAATGCAGGGCCTCCACCCTATTCTGAGCCTTGTCCTCCCCTGGGCTGCGGACTGTCTCAACACCTGGACATCATGCCTATGTCAGGGCATTTGTATACATGCCTTTTGCTGGACACTCTCCACATCTTCCTTTAGTGACTCCTTCTCTTGTTTCAGATCTTAGCTCCCAACTACTCTACACACCCTACTTCCCATTCCTCGACATCCCACACCATTTCATTATTTGCTTGTCATTTGTCACATAGCTCAGCTATTCTAGACACCTGCTGCTTCCACCCAGCCTTCCACCTCATCAGTTCCAAGAGGACAGGAGCTCATCTTCCTTACATCCACTACTTATTTATAAAGAAACCCCAAGATGCCCAGGTACACATGCCCCCATGAACTACAGAAGTGTTCATGCTTCATGTACACACACCTCACCCACAAACATCTGCAGGTGCATACATATCCTCACAAGCACACACAGAGGTCCATTTAGGACCATGACCCATACACACACACGTGACATATGCAGCGGTGAAGAGCAAGCGGGCATGTAAAGAATGTGCGTATGTGAGATCCACAGGTCAACCTGTAAGATAAAAGGTCAAATAAATGGGCTCCCTAAGTCACCTACTGAGAGGTCAGTTGCTCGGCTTAGAAAGGGATGCCTCAAGGGGCCCCAGGTAATGTCCCCTGGAGTGGGTTTGTGAGGGACAGGGATGGAAACCCTGTAATGCCCTGGGGGGTGCTGGGTCTGGTTCAATTCTCCACATGAACCCTATATAGGAAAGTTTCCTCACCGTAGCCCTCCTCTGATAGAGAAGGGAATCAAGGCTCAAAAAGGAGGACAAAGTCACACAGCAGGCTGTGGGGCAGCTGGGGCAGGAAGCCAGGTCTGCCTGATGCTAGCGTGTGGGATCTGAGCACTATACCAAGCCGATTTACGACAACGGTGACAACGCAACAGCAGGAGCAGCCAGAGTCTTCAGCAGGCACAGATTCACTTAACCTCACAACTCCCTATGAGGCAGGCCCAGGGCTCAGGCCACTGCAGGGTCAGAGAGGGCTCAACCTGCAGCCCCCTCCAGACCTGGCCTGTCTGCCCTATGTCCTGCTGCATGTTTGTTCTGTTCTCTAGGCTTCACTCACATCCTGTTCAAATGGGTTCTGGTCCCAATTTCCCAGGATAGCACAGAAACAGAGGAGAAACAAATGGGAAGAGGTGAGAATGGACAGGGCCCAGAATGGACAGATCACTGACCTGCTTCTCATTCATTAACTAACTCCATGTTAAGGGAGAGCTCGCTTCTGTCCCTCAACTCAGGTGAGCAGGGAACCCTGCTTGAGTTTGGGTGTGGGGCAGGGGTAGAGGTGGATCAGGTAAAGGGGTCTGCCTCAGCAGGAACAGATGGAGTTCATGGTCAGTGACCTCACCCAGCTCACAGGGACCTGCTTGGAGAACTCAGGCTTGGGAATGTGCAAGCTGGGGACAAATCTATTTGTCCAGAGATGTCACTGTAGTCTTATCCAGGAAAATGGCCTCAGCTCAGCTACCCAGAAATAGGGAACAAAGCAGATCAATACTGAAACATTACAGAACACAACCTCCAGAAGAGGTAGCCAAAGCCTTTTGAAATACCTGAGAAAACGCTCACAGTATGTCCACTGTAACTGTAAGTCATTGGTTAAAATCACCCCTACTAAGTGGAATACTGAGAAGGATTTCATTCATCTAAGAAAGAAGCAGAATTCAAGCAGATTTCAATTTGCACTATATTCCCGGCATATGTGCTTGCAGGAGGGAATGTTGGAAGGCACGGCTTCTGTGTTCGGCCATATGGTTATGCGTTTCATGACCACCTCCACTGTGTAGGCACCTCCACTGTGTGGGCACCACTTCCGGTGCTGGGTGGGCACAGGACTGACGGCTGAGTCTGCATTTCTGAGTTATCTTTCTGTCCTCTTGTTACTACTGAACAAGGATAAGATGCTAATGGGAGACAGCACCCAACATTCATGGGTGCTGCAGGACCTCATTACAGCCCAGGGTTCTGATAGGACCAGAGAGAGCAAAGAGCAGGCTGGAGGTGTGACAGGCCCTGGATGGTGGTAATTGGACCTCACCAGGTCTCCTGCATCTCAGACCTGCAGCCCCCTCAACACCTCCCCCCTCACACACACGAGAGTGTAGAAAAAGAAGTGCAGAGTAGAGAGGGCAGAGCCAGACTCTGGATCCCACTGCAGTGAGCAGGCACGCACCCAAGACCTCTCTGCCTGCCAGGGCCCTGGGGAGGAGGGTCGTTGGGTCGGAGGGCCAGGGACTAACTGTCCTGCTGCACAAAACCCCACTGAAGCACCTGGCTGGCTGTTCATACTCAGTGTCAAGGATGAAATCATGCTCTAAAACAGTCGTGTTTCACACACAGCAGAGTTCATGACGGTAAAATCCTTACCTTTTACAGCATCTGCCCATATTTTTGGAATGACAAACAGAGGGCTTTGTAGCTGAGTGATCCAGGCCACCCTCTCTACTCTGACAGGTCTCGGGTCATAGGCTGCATGGTGTCCCTCAGCACCTTGGAGTATCTTCCCCTCACAGCAGTGACAGTAAGAAATGTTGTACACCGGGACTCAATGCACACACAGAGACTGGGGCCACATCCACTGGGCACAGTGTCTCCTGTTCTAGATCGTTAAGTCCCACCTACTCTATAGCCACGGGAGAAAGATGAGGCTTTCTGCTCCCGTAAAGATTTACAGCCTCAGAAACCCTGTACACGTTTGCTATGGGTCGGAACCGACTCGACAGCACTTAACAACAACTCTGTATCATAGTCTAAGGACAGCTGATAAGGTCCACTAAATGGATGTCAGGCTCCATTCATGGGTCAGCTAGCTACCAGCCTATTACACACTGTTCTGACTTGGGCCCGTGGACACCAGAACCTACCTTCCTGGACCAAAATGCCACCCAGGGCTGGGGCAGGACCACAGCCATAGCCAGACAATTGCAGGCCCAGCTGGAGAAAATGTGGCTTGTGGCAGCCAAGAGAGGGGCAGGGGCTTCAGCTCTAGGTATTATGAAGGTATTTCTCCCAGGGATTCTGGGTACCCCTCCTGTGTTCCTGCCAGATGGCTCAAGGACCCTCGGCCTTACCCGGGAGCCTTTCCAGGCCTAATCTCAGTGATCTCAGAAAGCTCTAATGGAACTGAACTTAGAATCCTGGGCTCTCCAGCTTAGATGGCACATTAGACGTCAGAGAAGGTAGTCTCCATCCAGTCAGGAACCTCCTTTATTGCAATTGACCAGATGACTGCCCAGCCCCTCCCTCCTGTCTGGCCAATCCCTCTTTGCACAGTCTGACTAGGAGAAAGCATAATGGGGCAGGGATATGCTTTCCTGATCTCTTTTTTCTGTGGGTCTCCTACCCTCTGCTCCACAGACTGCCTGCTGCCTCAGTCTCTAGAGAGCACCAGAACTGGGGACAGATACTGGGACCCCTGAGGCTGCTCTTCTCCTGCCTCCTTAAGAACTACCTACAGTATCCTTGTCCCCTTCCTGGCAAAACTGTCAGGCACAGACCTTGGCTAATGTAGTCACTGGTGGTCTGGCCACACTGTGCTTATGTACTTGGTGGGGCACTCCAAGGACAGAGCAGGCCATGTGAGGGACCCTCACTCACCCTTGCAGGATCTCCCGTTGGCCCTCATGGCATAGCCCTTCTCTGGACATGCACACTGGTAGCTCCCTGGCACATTAATGCAGCGGAAGGAGCAGAGGATGCCGGTACCCGTCTCACACTCGTCGATGTCTGCCAGGGAGAGGAGTGGAGTCTTAGGAGTTGTAGCTACCACAGAGCTGAGGAGCCCACTTCACAGAGGATGACAGCAGGCTCAGAGAGGGGACAGAGGTGCCCAAAGCCAGGCAGCCACACAGGACTCCCCTGAGGTCGCTCTGCAATGGGCACTATTGGCTGAGGGCCCTCCATCACCCTGAGGTGAGACCGCTGCCCCATTTTGCAGAGGAGGAGCCCGAGGCTCACAGTGGGAGAGTGATTTGCCAGTCATCCAGGCAGGAAACAACAAGGGAGGAACTCAGAGTGAGATGTGACCCCAGTCCTCTGTGTCCTGTCTGGAAAGTGGGGGTCAGTTGCCCCAGGTCCCTGGGAGAGGAGCGGTACCTCGGCAGCTGTGCCCATCCTCAGCCAGCTGGTACCCCTGGCGGCAATAGCACTGGTAGGAGCCGTAGATGTTGGCACACTCCTGGCTGCAGCGCTGGGATTCACATTCGTTGACATCTGCAGGAGACCAGCCATCACCCACCTAAGAAGAGGGTCAAGGCCCTCACAGCTCACCTCTAGTCTTCCCTGGGGACAGATGAGGAGAAGAGGCCCACCCAGGGCATGCAGCTGAGGCAGGAGCAGAGCAGGGCTTGCTGGTGGGCTCCTGGTTGGCAGCCACAGGCTGGGCTAACTTCCCACATGGGGATCCTCTTAGAGGCATTGCCCAGGGCACTGACAAGGACCACCTGAGGGTGGAGGCTCATCTGGCACTACATAGGCCCAACAGCAGGCACCAGAGGAAGGAACAAGCAGTTAATGCCTTAGGTAAACAACTACTGGACTCTGAGTTCTTTGCAGGGAAGGACTTATTTTTCTATTCATTCAATAAAAAACTACTGTTGTTGTCGTTAAGTGCTGTCAAGTCACTTCCAACTCATAACGACCCTGTACAGGGTTTCCGAGGAGTGGCTGGTGAGTTTGAACCGCTGACCCTGAGGTCCAGTGTTTATCCTACAGTGCCGCACCAGGACTCCGTAAAGAACTACTACAACTTTACACTGTGCCGGGTCTGGACTGGGTGGTGAGAAAGATAACAAAAATCACATCCCTCATGTTGATGTGAGGGAGCGGGGGACTAGGGACCAAGTAAAATACCTAGTGTTCGAAGGGGGTACATGTTGTCAAGAGAAATACAGCAGAGAAGGGGCAGGGTGTGTTTGAGCAGCTGCAGTCTGAAGAAGATCAGAAAGTAAGCCACTAAGGGGAAGGTATATGTGGGTGTGGGTGTGGGGGGTACTCAAGCAGAGGTCCTGAGGAGGGTACAGAACAAGTGGGCAAGCCAGCAGAAGGAGGGTCTGTACACAGCTCAATCCTCAGGACCTGGAAACATCCACGGCACCAAGGACAATGAAGGAATGAGGAATGGCTAGGGGCCAGATCAGAGTCACCTCTTGCGTCCAGTCAGTGAAAGGACTCAGGTATGAGTGAGTGACTCGAAAACCATACAGGGTAGACACAGGCCCTCATACCCATTGCTTTCAGCCCACAGGTGCTCACAGACGTTCATAGCATGAATACACGAATGAATGAATGAATGACGGACTTCACAAATCTCATTAACATAAGCAGGTCTAGTCATATACTCCTGCCCTGCTTGAGTCTGACCCATGGGCCCTTGTGCAGGCAGGTGACTAGGTAGGGGCAGGTGGCCTCTCCAGGGGACAGTGAGAAAAGTCCTCCAGGTTGGGAGGGGCTGAGAGCCAGCAGAGGTGAGTTGTGCCCTTCATCACCCCACCCCTTCACTGACCAGGCTCATGGGCTCCCTCCCACTAGTCCTTGATGGACCTGGTCCAATTGCTCAGTCTTTCATTTGATGCCCCTCCATCAAGACAGGGCTCAAGCCCACATGCATGAGATACCAGCCTAAGGATGAGGGCACCCTGAAGACAGCCTTGACTGGGCCCACAGTGTGTTTTGTCAATGTTTTGCATCAGTAATATAAAATCTAGAGATTTCTCCAAAAAAGTCTAGTTTTCAGCATCTCTGTTAGACCAAGGGTCAGCATGGGTGCTGAAGACACAGACCCAGCCCCTCTGATCTGTGGCAGCATCTTGACCCATTGAGCCAGGGAGACTTGGACGGATGGGGGACAGGAGAAATGGTACAGTGGGAAGTGCCAAGGGTCAAGGTATGAGAGCGGAGGGGGCCAGTTCTGGGTGGGGTCAGAGGTCAGGACTGTTAGCAATACCTTCACAGTGCTTGCCATCTGCAGCCAGCAGGAAGCCAGAGGCACAAGAGCAGCGGTAGGAGCCTGGCGTATTCTCACAGGTGTGCTGGCACACACGGCCCGGGGAGGCCCAGCATTCATTCACATCTGCAGACAGGTAGGCAAGTGAAGCATCAGGGCTCCCTCCTCCCCCAGGCAGTCCCCCATCCAGGCCAAGGAGGATGCTGGGTGGGGAGAGGTACTCTACCAGGACAGGAGAGGAAGAGACAAAGACACAAGGGAGAACAGACGGACTGACTAACCATGACTAAGAGAAACAGGGAACAGTCACCATGGGAACCAAAGGCTGAGACAGATGGTCAAGTCCCAAAAGAGGTGGCCTTGGGCAGGTGGGCACCTTTCAGGCAATGGATGCCCGGAGGTGGGAAGGAAGAAGGGAGCCCCACGTACCGATGCAAGACCGGCCAAAGGCATCGCGCTGGAAGCCTGCTTTGCAGTCGCAGCGGTGGGAGCCGGGGAGGTTGTGGCACACCTGGTTCTCACTGCACCGATGCACGCCTGCCTCACACTCGTTCACATCTACATGAAAGGCAGTGGACTCATGAGGCCGAGGGCTCCTCTGCATGGCCCCCTGAAAGTCACAGCGGGGTGAGACCAGCCTTACCCACACACTTGGTGCCATCCTCGCTGATGTGGTACCCATGTCCGCAGAGCAGTAGGTTTCTCTGGCACTTGTAGGAACCCACGGTGTTGATGCAGCTGAAGCCCGGCTTACAGGGATCGGGCAGTGATGAGCACTCATTGATGTCTGCAGACGTGAATGGCGATGAAGCCACTTCCCTGCCACAACACTTGGGCCCAGCCAAGTCAAGGCTGCTGGGCCAGAGGGTCCCACCCTGTCTTACCCCAGTCCTAGGGGCTCAACATCCCACTGCACCTACAGGAGTTCCTACATGTCCCTTAGATCTATACCGACACAGATGCTAACATAAAAGCATTGCTAAGACCTAGGACAATGATAACACAGGAAGGATGTCCTTGACCTCCAGTGTCTAAATGCTGTCTGTTCTGCCCAGAATTGAATCCAAACACTTTGCCCCAGCATTTAGGACCCCACTGACCTATGCAGCCTCCTACTCCCACCCTTCCTCAATGTAAGCAACTCCAGCCCCACTACACCCCTCACTATCTCTAATGCCCCACACAGTCCCAGCACACAGCAGGGCCTTTGCAAACGCTGTTCCCCTTTCATGGTAGGCTTTCTCACTGCCTCTGGTCCCAACCCAAATGTCACCTCCTCAAGGACACCCTCCAGGATAAGGTAGATGTCTCTTAATCCCCTGCTTGTTTTATTAATTATCAAAGCAACTGTGAATAACTGTTACTTTCATAAATGTCTTTGCTTATATTCATCCTAAATGTCTTCACAAACCATATTAGTACCCCAACATCTAGAACCCTGGCCCTCAGCAAGTGCTCAGGAAATGTCAATGACTAAATCAGTGAAGAACTGTTTGGAGTGGGGCTTATCTACCCACTTTGCCCTGATCCTGACTGATCACAGTCACACCACAGTCTGGCCAGAGGAGCTTTCTGAAGGTCACAAAGTGAGCCTCTGGAAAGAGCTCAAGCTCCCAGACTTGCCAAGGCAACCTCCACCATCTTCAGAAAGCTCTCTGACCCATCAACTCCCTCCCTTGGTTCCACCCTGCAACAGGGGAACCATTTCACACACAGGTGTTTTGAGGACAGCAGGATCGTCGTGGTCCACAGTTCACACCGTTGACCGCCTAGCCCAGGCCTGCATACTTGTCCACACCCCTGATGGTTCCTGCTCAAGGCATGGCCTGTCCTGCAGGGGGCGCTGGTACACAGGCCAGGGGAGTTTCCAGAGAGGTCAGGGCCGCCTGGCTCCTAAGCCAGCAGCTCTTTAAAAGAGATTGAAGTGAGGCAGGGAGGGATAATCAGTTCATGGGATCTCAGATCCACTTACTTGGGGACCACAACTTGTACAGCATATATCAAGCCATGAGTTTCAACCCTTAGCAAAGCATGAAATAAACCTTCAGGTTCTTGACAAACAAGTTGTAAAAACGGAAAATTTCAGTATGTATCATATGCAGTTAGGGTGGGAGCTGTGAAAATTGTGTTTTAGTTGTGTGTGTGTGTAAAATAAATTTGGTTCTGTTGGTTAGGATAACAAAATTGTGAAGCACATTCATTAAGGCCAACCCCATGGATGGGTAAAGTGAGATGTTAAGTCTAAGAGATGCTTCATTTCCCTCCTAACACCCAGCTCAGGGTCTGGCACAGAGCCAAGGTCAGAGAGCTGACACCCACTGCACAGAAGGGTGCTGAGAGTAGGTAAGGCACAGCACAACAGAGCACCCCGATGCCCTCGTGAGGACCCCACTCACCTACACAGTTACCCTCAGGGTCCTGAAGGAAGCCCTCCATGCAGTGCTGCCGAGCCTGGCAGTAGAAGGAGCCCTTGGTGTTCTGGCACGTGAGGCCCGCCTGGCAGTTGTGCGTGCCCAGCTCACACTCGTCCACATCTGCACACAGAGCTCAGTATTGGAGACAGCCCTCTGCCCCTTTTACACCAACGGTGGTTACCCAGTTCTTCTGCACCAGGAAGCTGGGGAAGCAACAGCACCTAACCTGGCACATGTCCCAGTAGACATAGTATAAACAGACATCTACTGGGCTCTATGCCAATGTATAACCAGGGAAACAACCAATACCTAGATGCCCTGCAAGTGGGCATAAAGCCAAGAACAGATCCATGGCTTCCCCCACACAACACCTCTGCTCGTGCAATCCTCCCAAAGGCAAGACACCTGAGTTCTAGCAGCTCCCATCAAGGGCAAGGCACTTTGCAAGTAAAGGTTGGGGACAGGCTCGCCGCTGAGCCTTTCACCTGCACATTCGCCGTCCTTGAGCGTGTAGCCCGGCTCACAGGTGAGACTCTCGAGACAGTGGAAGGAACCCAGTGTGTTGACGCAGTGCTCGTCCCGAGTGCACGTGTGCTGAGCTGTCACACACTCGTTGATGTCTGCGGGGGAGGAAGCTGTCAGCGGTTCCACTGGCAGTCAGGAAGGTGGGCGAGCCAGGCCCTGCTGTCCAGCCACTGCCATCCAGAGCGCATATCTATCCATCCATTCATTCATTCCACACATATTTCCTGAGCACCTGCTAAGTAGCACTGTGGACACCTTGAGAACAACATGTACAGAAACCCCAGCCCTTGTAGTGCTGACACTCACAGGAAACCTGTGGTACAGAAGGAGACCCGAAAGAAATAAGAGAGCAGGGAAACAAGAGGGCCAAGCTAGGCGTGCAAGGTGGTCAGGGAGGGTTCAGACAAGCTGGTATTGGTGCACAGATCTGAAGACAGGCCCAAAGGATGTTCTGCACAGAGGATACAGCAGGGGGCCTGAGAAGAAGACAGTGGAGCACTCTGTTCAAGGGACAAAGAGGAGGCAGGAGTGGCCAGACAAGACAGTTGAGGTCTGGTTTTGACTCTGAGGCCAGTGAAAGGCAGAGGAACAGCCACAGAAAAGGTACGGGGTCTGACTTGTCTGTAACAGGGTCCCCAGCTGCACTGGACAGTAGTCTCCAGGGATAAGCCCCCCACCCCCACTGTCACCCCCACTCCGGTGGAGGTGGGACACTGTCAAATTCTGAAATATTTTAAATGTGGAAACAGCAGGCTTCACTGATGGTGGACAGAAGGTATGAGAGGAGAGAAGAGATCTCAACAGGTTTGGCCTGAGCAGTTGGGAAAAGGGGTACCATCTTCCAGGACTGAGGATGAAGCAGATGTGTAGGTCAGAGCTAAGCCCCATGGCCATGTGAGTTTGACAGGTGCCCAAGTGAAGATGTTGAGAGGGGGATGGAGACATGCTTCTGGCTCTCAGAAGGCTCTGGTGACAAGACAATAATTTGTGGTCAGCGTATGGGTGGCTAAAAAAGGCCCAGTCTGTTGCGGTCACCTGGGAGAGGGACCCAGCTAAAAGAGGCCAAGGACCTTTTTTTGTCCCTCCTGGGACAAGTCCTTGGGGAGCATAGGAACAAGGGGAGGAGATTGGGGAGGAGGAGGACCAAGAGTTCACCAACTCAAAACCTGCCCCAGGCAGCAGGAACACTGAAGTGAAACTGCAGAATGGGACGTGGACAAGTGGTGCCAGAGGACAAGGGGGAGAGGAGAGTGGGGAGCTAGTGCTTAAATTTGGGAAGAGGAAAAAGTTAAGGAACTAAATAGTGGGGGGTTGTTGTTGTTAAGTGCCATCAAGTCGGTTCCCACTCATAATGACCCTGTATAAAGTTTCCAAGGAGCAGCTGGTGGATTTGAACTGTCGACCTAGTGGTTCAAACTGACTTTGTTGTCTGGCGCTTATCCTATAGTACCACACCAGGACATAGTAAATACGATCTATGCTAACTAACTGTACACTTAAAACTGGCTAAAATGGCAAGCACTACATGTTTTACCACCATATAAAAATAAGAAAAATGTCTGCCTCCAGGCAGTGCTCAAGATCTGTGGATACCCGCTGGTTTCTGCCTCCTCAGAGCATCATCAGGCAGAGGTGGCAGAGTACTCACTCACCCACTCATTCACACAAGGCCCCAGGCCTCGTGGGGATGTCAAATTCGACTCTGCCTAGTTGGGGTGGCATGAAAGACACTGGGCAAAGAGCCACAAGCAGGGCCCTGGAATGTCTCAGAGGCAGTCTGGGTACTGGCTGGACCAGGTGGAGAGGGAGAGAGCAGGGCTGTAGGGAGGAAGACCCTCCCATGTCCTTAAATGGGCCAAATGGTAAACCCATAAGGCGGCAGGAGGTGGTGGTAGAGAAACAAAAAATTGGTTTCCCAGGAGACGAAGATTTCTAATGTATAGGTGGGGTTAACAAAGAGAGGTGTTCCCAGGGTTCCAGAAACATTACAGAAGGAATCACAAGGATGGATAAAACCTGTAACTGAGGCTCAGGAGGGGTGGGCAGCTCCCACTCAGAGAGGTGGAAACAAGGTCTTTCAGACCAGCTGTGGCAGCAGGGGACTGGAACTAAATAAAGAGGGTGCTGCAGAAGTGGGCTTCAGAATGACGACCATTTCTCTCCATCTCCTCACTCCCCGGCCACGTTACCTGCACACTTCTCCAAGAACTGAGAGTATCCTCAAAACCCTAGGCAATCCCCAGCAAAAATCACACATCCATTAGAAGACCTCTGGACTCCGTCCCACTCAATCCTGACTGCAGTTTACACGCCTGCAATGGTGAGGAGCTCACTCACTCTGCAGGCTGCTTCAGCATTTGTTGAATCATAATGCTGCCAAGCAGTAGCAAGAACTTCACATGGATTAATACATTTACTCTTCACAACCACCCTCTCAGGTGAAAGCTATCAGCATCCAGTTTCACATTAAATCTCAGAGTGGTTAACTGACTTACTTGAGGTCTTATAACTAGAGAGTAACCAAGCCAGGACCTGCAAAGACCTCAGCAGCGCACCAGCCTCCCCACTTACAGTCTGGTTGACAGTGTGGAGTGAACAAACGAACTACAAACTCTAACAGATGCCTGTGGGTGAAGAAGTGGCAGAGGGACTGAGGAGCTGGTGTTAATGGACGAGTAAGCTCGTAAGTAATGGAAGGAAGACACAGAAGAATGTGACAGGATGGAAAGAGAATGAGGACATGACTGAGGGCTAAAAAAATTCTGCTGAGTAGATTGTACCTTTGCTCCTTGAACCCAGAACTTAATTACCAGCTTCCGGGACCCCTTTCAACAGGAGGGATGTTCAGAGGAACAACCCTCAATGTGGTGAGAGAGAAGCATGTCCTGGGCAGAGGCCCAGCCTTCTTATTTCACACAGACACACAAGGCACGGTCCAAACAGGAGGAGGCCGCCCAGCCCCGCATGCGGATCGGGAGGGTGCATGTTGTGCTGAGAGCCGGAGGCCAAGGGTAAACATGTACAGCCAGTGCCAGGGGCCCATCTGCCCAGTGGCAGAAAGTGGGCAGGGGACACGTTCAGGCTGGGCACAGTCCACAAGCACAGATTCCTGGCGCCCTCCACACTGCCTCCACCTCCATATCCTTGTTCAAGCTGTCTCCTCCTGCCCCACCCCCACCGCCCCGATCCTGACACCCTTCCCAGTGCTCCAGTCTGCCCATCTGCGGAGAGTGGTGCCAATGTCCCCTTCTCCAGAATGCATGTCCATAGTTTCACAGTACAAATGGTTCTCCCCTTGCCTGTGTCTCTGCTGTGGTGTTGTCCTGAGTCTCTGCTACTTTGGGCCTATTCCTGTAGGAGCAGGAACTTTAGGAGGACAGAGTTTATGTTTTCCCTCAAACATCAGCCATGTGGGAGCTGGGAGTACCAAGCCCACACTCCTCAAGGCCCACAGTCCTCCAGAGACACAGGCTTCAAGGGAGGGAGGAGTGCTCTTACCACACCCTTACCAAGCTAGGCCCAGGCCAGAAACTGGCAGGATCCTCACCCAGTCCTCCTGGCCTCAGAGCTCAGCATCACCCCAGGTGACCAAACCCAAAAAGTCACGCTATCCAGTGAATTCCAACTCCTAGCAGCCCTGAGGAGGGTTTCCAAGTCTGTACACCTTTATGGAGTCAGACAATCCCATCTTTCTCCTGTGCGGCAGCTGTAAGTTTGAACCACAAACCTTGTGATTAGCAGTCTACAGCTTAACTCACTGCACCACTAGGGCTCCTTCACCCCAGGCGAGATGGGAGAAAATGAAGGCTCAGAGAGGAGGGCCACCTTCTCAGGGTCACACAGCAAAGGGACAACAAGCTGGAGTGCACAGTCTGTCCTCTGGCTCTGGGTGCATCTAACGAAGATCTGGAGCAGCTGCCGCAAGCTGCTTACTGACTCCCAGATGCCCTGCTCATTGCATACACGCCACACAACCTCAGAACCACACCCACATGGGGGCCCATCACCCCTGCTAAAAGATGAGCAAGTCATTTGCTTAAGGCCATAGTGCTACCGAGGGGCAGAGTTCTGCTTTGGACCCCAAGTGCCATATATATTACCTTACTGCCCAACTCGATTGACCCCTTATTTACTGCAGTCCAGACACAGGGTCAAGGGCCCAGCCAGACCACACATCCAGCTGTGGTGTCTGATTCCAGGCCCATCCCTGAGGAAAGCAGCCTCCAGAAGAGCCAGGGGACAAGCAGGACAGGACACCAGGGCACGGACGGAGGACGTAACACAAAGCGCAGGATGCTGGCTGTGCTGAGAGCTCATATGCAAAGGGACAGTCCCTTTAGCATGTGGCTGCAGGGTGGCATGGCTAGCATGGTGCAGCACAAAGAGCTGTGACGGTGGGCGGCAGGCAGGGGCTCTCGCTTACCCACGCACTTCCTATACGCATTGAGGATATAGCCCTCCGCACACAGCACTGTGTGGTTGACACAGTAGTAGGATCCCAGGGTGTTCACACAGAACTGCCGCCGGTTACAACCATGAGTACCCATCAGGCACTCGTCCCGGTCTAGTGTCAGCCACAGAGGGAAAAACAGAAGGGCCGTTAGGGGGGCATGGCCTGCCAAGGAGCATCCAGTCACAGGTAAGGAAATGAAGAGCCTCTCAGCCCATCAGTAGTGGAGCTGGACCTTGGACCCCAGTCTCAGTTTGTGGAGTTAATAGATCTCCGAGTTACAATCCACTGTTCACGCTGAGCATGTGGCCAGGAGATACTCAGAGAGGGTGGACAATCTGTCCAAGGTCACACAGCCAGACAGGACCAGAGGCAGTCCCCTACCCAGTCTCTGGATGCAGCCTACCTCCACAGGCCACCAAAGGAAACACACAGTGGACTGCAAACTCAAGTGCTCTAGCCACAGAAGGGTGGGGGCTCTATGCAGGTTCTGGGCTCTGTCCATGGGTGGACAAGACATGAGCTTCCATAGACAGATTTTGTAAAGGTTCAAGAAAAATCTAGAAAATAGAATTTAAAAGAAAAAACTTCTTGAGCTCTTCACAACTGACAATGGATCGGAGTCTTTCAAACATGGAAGAGCAACGCAGGCTTCTCCACAAGCCAGACTGCAGCCTCGGGCCCACACACTACTGTCTTCCTTACAAGGGTCCTCTCAAGAAGCAAGTGGAGGAGTGGGGAGGCATGGGCCCAGGCCAGCCACATAGCCACTAGGAGCCAAGGCTGTGCCAACCCTTGGGCCCTAGGCCTTGCCAGGTCTGTGCCCACTGAGGTCCATTCCCTGGCTGGGTCCAGTGAGAGGAACTCACAGCTTTAGGCCTGGTGGATAGGTCCTGAAGGCACTGCATGACCTAAGTCTAAGCTATACCCCCATGCCATCTGAGAGAAAGGGCGGCAGGTTCCCATCAGTCTGGGTTTCCCATCCTCTGTAGGCAAAAGAAGGATATTGGTCCACATCAGAATACCAGTCTCAGATGAAAGACTGGTGCAGGATTTGGGTTACTGGCAGGAGGTGGGCATTTGCCCCAGTTAGCCCTAGACTCGTACCAGGGTCACATCACCTGGACTCACCCAAAGCCTGCACTGGGCTCTCTGTGCCTCCCAGCCCCCAGAGAAGAGGCATAAAGTCCCCGTTGGGCTATTCCTTGAGACAACATTCTCTGTGGGAACCAACCCTGCTGGTCTCAAACCGAAGGCCACATCTTACAGCAAGGAGGTTGCAACCTACAGGTCCCTCGAATATCAGATCCCCACCCATCCCCTCAGTTCCTGGGAAGGTCACCAGGTAAAAGGGGTATGCTTGGAGGGTCCTCTCAGGGCCCTAAGTGGCAGAGGCAGTTCATAGTCACCAATTCTATTCTGTTCTTGCTCGATTTTTTAAGGGACGAGCATATGGCGTCCAGCTGGAGACTTGACTCCCCCAGCCTCCCTCCTACTCCCAACCAGGGGCAGTGGTGGTGAGAAACACTGCTACAAGGTCCTGTCCCTCAAATAAGTGAGCCTCCCACTTTCTCTTTCCCTGCTCACAGCTGGAGCATGACTGGCCGGCTCTGTGGGCTGTGCATATCTGGGGCCTTATCAGAGATGCAAATTTCTGAGCTCTACCCCAGATACCCCGCATCAGAACCTGTATTTCTGACTCTATTGCCTGTGAAGTCAGAGACCACCGACCAGGTGGAGGGAACCTAGCTCCCGAACAGACCCCTGTACTGCCCACACACCTCTTCCCCCGCTGGCCCCCCAGAAGATCAACTCAGGCCTGCAGGAAGGGGTGGCCCCGGGGCACTCACCTTCACAGGACACACCATCGGCCATGATGGCGTAGCCGGGAAAACAGGAGCACATGGCCGTGTCCCCGACGATGCTGCACACCTGTTTGCAGGGCCCGTTGTCTGAAAGGAATCAGAGAGTTCCAGGCTATGACCTCATCCCACACTGCTCCTCACCCCAGCCACAGTCCTGAGCCTGCGGTCAGGGATGCTCATGTATCAGGTCTCATTCAGGTCTGAGCCATTCAGACAATCAGATCCCAAACCCTGATGGCCATGAGGGGAAGAAGGAAGGCATACAGAGATGAGGAGAAAGATCGGATGAGGAAATGAGATGAGGATGGGGAACAAGGGCAGAAAAGAATTTTCTGTGTGCTAATAAATGCATCCCCCTCAGCTCTGCAAGCACACTGTGCTGTCTCAGTCTTACAGGGCCCAAGTCCAGGAAGGAGAGGCATGGGCCAGAGTACAACAGCCACCTGCACCGAGCCCCACCCCCACAGTGGCTCCTCACCCAACCTCAGCCCTTCGAGTCCAACCAGCCCCCAAAGCAGAAGCACCCTACTTTGTCAGGAGGCCACCTTGCACCCTCCCAGCCTCAGAAGCACCCATCTGCCAGCATCCCAGACCCCCTCTGTCCCAGAGCCCTTCCCGGGGACACGGTCCCCTCCACTTACTTTTGCAGGTGTTGGGTTGTGGTAAGGGTAGTGGGATTATGTTGGGGACCATTGGGGGCAATGGTGGCCTTGGTGCAGACTGCGTCACAGCCTCTGGTTTTGGGGGTTCATGATCTGTGAAAGGCAGAACAGACAGAAGACTGGACAAGGGGAGGTCTTGTCTCTTCATCAGATATTACGGCGTGGAGGCCTGCTCACACAGAGCCACAGACCACCCGGAAATTAGGACAGGTCCTCATCAGAACCCAGCAGCAACGGCATGGACACTGGACAGCGGTCATTTCACTTAACCCTCCCACTTGATGGAAGAAACTGAGATTTGATGATGTGCTCAAGCAACATCACACAACTATTCAAGGCTGAGCCCCACAACAAAAGGAGTAAACACAGAAGTAAAGGGAAGAGTTTTCTGACAGTTAGCAGGGGGAGAACCCTTTGGGACCATGGGCTGAGGCAGTCCCCTGGGGACACAGCCAGGTTTTGGTAATGGGGCCTCTGTCATAGCTGTGAATCATAGGCTTCTGATGTTCTACCATGTGGCACAGTAGGGGGTGAAGTACCTCAGAATCCTCCTTTCTTCTTGTCCCTGCTATTCCTGTCCAAGGAATGCTGAGCTCCAGTGGTCAGGCCAGTGGCCCTTACCTGGACGGCAGGTCCGGCCGTCATCCTGTAGCGAGAAGCCGGGGAAGCAGGCACAGCGGTAAGAGCCCACGGTGTTGATGCATAGGTGCTGACACAACTCCCCCGGCAGGAGCAGACACTCATCCTGATTGTCATCTGGAAGGCTGTTGGGCAGCTCAGCCTCTGTGCCCAGTGAAAGGGCCTCCCGGTCCACCACCTCCGCCTCTGAAACTGGGGTGGGGTCAGTGCTCATGATGGAAGAGCAGGAGCCACAGCCCCGGACCACCCAGAAATCAGTACAGCCCCTCATCAGAACCCAGCAGTAACATAGGTGAGGGTGAGTGGAACAGCTGGATGGATGGGTGGATGAATGAGTGGGGGATAATTGAATGAATGAATGTACGAACAAACAAACAAACAAGTAAATGAATGGGCAAACCTGCAGCAATAAGGGCCCAGTGTTCATCACCTTGGCCCTCCCACAATGTCATGGGGCCAGACCCGCCACAATCCCCAGGAAGCAGTTGAGTGGCATCAGGGAGGGTCTCCCCTATCAGGAATGGTTGAGTGGAACCTGAACCTGACGGGGCCTTCTCTTACTGCCGGTGGGACACTGCTGCTTGCATCCTCTGAGGCACAGGTCACCTACCTGGTCCTCCCAGAAGGACAGCAACATATGCCTCTGGCTCTGGAGCTTGCTCAGCCCTGGTGCCCACCTGCTGCTCTTCCTTAAGAGTCACTCCCTAACTTCATCGTGAACCACTCTTCGGGTCCCCACCTGGCCTTCATACCAATGCTGAGTCAATTGCTTTAGAGCCAACCCCATCAAGTGCCATTCCCTTGAACTGGACTTAGCCTCCGATCCTGTGTTGACCACAGGAGGCTGGCTAGTCCCTCTGTCTTGGTTGATCTGCCCTGACCTGGCCTGGTCAAACCTTCATACAATGCCCCTGCCCCGTTCTGCTGGGCCCACCATAGCACCCAGTAACTCTGTGCTTTCAAGAGTGAGCTTGTCATAAGAGACCGTGGATACCAAGAATCTCCCTTCCATGCACAGAGTCCCAACATCTTGCACTATCGAGCAGAGATTTGGACTGATTCAGGTCAGGGCTGACTGGGGTCCAGGGCAGGAGGAATCCCAGAGACAGGAATAGGAGTTGTCAGAGCCAAAGTGCCCCATACTGATTGTGGCAAAGACTGGCCATGTGGCTTAGCAAAGGCCCTGACTCTCTCCAGGCCTCCGCTAAGACATGACAGTAGCCATGTTGCAGCCTTTCTGAGTGTTGACAAGTTGCCAGGCACTGCCTTCAACTCCCAATAAACATCACGTCATTTATCCTCAGGCTGAGTGAGACATAGCAACACCCCATCCAACAGAGGCAATAAAAAGGCTCAGAGCAGGGATACAATTTGCCCTAGGTTAGCAGTGGGGCTTGGGGTTGCATCCAGGTTGGCCTGACTCCAGAGGCCATGAGTTTAACCTCAGTGCTACAACTACCTCTGTGGTTTAATTCTCAACCCACGAAGTGCTCAGGACATGCCCACAGGGGCTCCAGATAGTCCACAGGGCAGGTACGGGGGCTGGAAGTTCAGGAACTTTCCTGGCATCTGGCTTTGAACATGTGGATACTACAGAGGGCCCACAAGGGCTTTCACAGCACCTGGCTACGGCAGGGTCTGCTAAAGCAACAACACCCACTGACACACTGTGACACGGAAACACTGGATGGGCTCCCACAGCCCCGCCCCCGCCACTGGTGGAAAGAAGTCCAGGAGACAGCCCAGATGTCTGGCTGGGGTTACAGAGGCTAGACCTGACAGCTGGAACAGCGATGACCAGCACAGGAAAGTGAGGAGCGAGGAGCCACTAGGGACAGTGAGGGCTGGAACCTCCCAGTGTGGCTGAACCATCTCTAGGACAGAGGCCAGCACAGGCCCCAGCTCACACGTCACCTGGAGGCTCAGTGGGACTCTAGGCTCCTGAGCACACTGACTACACAACTCAGGGATGGGCTCTGGCAGGGGCACAGGGGTGAAGGGCACAGGTGTGGGAGCCCACAAAGCGTTCTAAGAGTGGCAAAGAGGTGACCAACAAATAAACCCATTACTTATTCATTCAATCATTTGTTAATGCCTCCTCTGGGCCAAGCACAGGGCCTGACGCTGAAAAGGCAGAGGTACAAGACACTCGGGGCTAACAAGGCTAAAAAGGCAAGTGGGGAAAATACAAGGGGGCTTCAAAAAGGTTGTAGAAGAATAGAAAAGATAATGGAATTTTTTTTTCATCAACTTTTTGAAGCTCCCCCATAGTGCCTTCTCTGTGCCAGTTTACATAGCATGCACAGCAGGCAGAGGAATGGCAAGAGGTGAGAGGGATGGGGATGAATGGTAAAAGCAGAAGTAACTTTAAGGAATGAGTGGCTGAAAGGTTTGCTAGCTGACTTGAGGATGAACACATGAGTACATGGAGAGATGAAGGATGGATGGATGGATGGATGGATGGATGGATGGATGGATGGATGGATGGATGGATGAATGGATGGAAGAGTGGATGAATAGATGGGCTGGTGGGTGGATGAGGTTACGAGATGAGGGAGTGAATAGGAAAGTGGATAGATAACTGGGCAAGTAGATGAACTAATGAGTGGGGAGAAGGCTTGGGCTAGATGAGATGGATGAGTAAAGGGGCATGTTGGGAAGCGGTGATTGATGGGGAGAAGATAATGGTCTGTCGATAGATGGATAAATGGGAGGGTTGGAAAATGAGTGGGTAGATGAGCGGGTAGGTAAGACGAGGGGATGGATGAGAAAGTAGAAGGATGGATGAGCAGACACATGGACTTATGGGTGGGGGACAAGTGAGGAATGGAAGAGATGGATGGATGGGTAAAAAGGTGGACTGGTAAGTAGATGGACTGATGGAGAAGAAAATGGACCTATGGTGGTGGTGGTGGTGGTGGTGGTGGTTGTGTACCATCGAGTTGGTTCCAACTCACAGCCACCCTGTATAGGGTTTTCCTTGGCTGTAAATCTTTAAAGGGGCAGAAAGCCTCATTGTTTTCTCACAGAACATTTAATGGACTCAAACTGCTGACCTTGAAGTGAGGAGCCCAACGCATAACCCACCACACCGCCAGGGCTCTCTGTAGATAGGAAAAGATGGATGAAAGGATGGATGTGTGAGCAGGAGGATGGGTGGATGGATAAGTGAATGAATGAAAAGATAAGGGGCTAAGGGTGTATGTGGGAAGGAAAGGGATTAAATGGGCAGAAAAATGGATGGGTAGGAAGGTGTATGGACACAGATAGGAGAGTGGGTGCATGAACAGTAGAAAGCAGTGGGTGCCAGGTAGGCAGTGGTTGGATAGGTGGAATAATGAGTAGAAAACGGAAAAGGATCACCATTTCAGAAGTGATGGAGCAAAGTCCACAGTCAGAGGACAAAGAACCCTGTCTAGAAGAGAACTTGTGTCTCAAGTCACAGATGAGAGTGGAGCCAGGTTCCCCACAGAAGCCCAGAGACACCCAGCTTTGGCTGAAAGCCCCAACAGCTCTGCTCCCCTCAACCAATGACCCATACTCCCTGGCTGGGGGCTGGGGCTGTACCCACCTCTCTTTGGTATGGCTAGAGGTTCTGGAGGCCTGCGAACCTCAGGCACAATGAGAGCATCTTCACCCTCGCAGCAGGAGAGCATTGCGTTGTTGCAGGGGTAGCCCAGGTTGGGGTTAGACTCACACAAGTGGCCCTCACTCCGTATGCGAAGTCCCAAGCCACAGCAGTCACAGCATTGCTGGAATGAGATGCAGCCATCACTGTCCACTCATCGCTCCCTGGTGGCTACCCACACTGGACTTTCAGAGCCTTCCCCCTTCAGCCTGTCTCCTCCATGGCCTTGAGCCTGTGTGAGCCAGACTCAAGGGGTGGGCTTGGTCATTGATCTGTATCTCTTATGCCTATCATTACCAGGTCTGGCGGAAGAGTGCTAACACAAGTGTTTTTAATTAAAAACCTCCTGCAGAAAACCTACCAATTATTCCCCAGCTACATCCACCATCCTTACTAAAAGAACCCCATCTTTACTAAAAGGACCTCAATTCTATCCAGGTCAGCTAAAAGGTAGTATTTGCCAGTATCCTTGGAAGTTGTATATAGAAGCCAAAGAGTGGAGCTTTCATAAAAGCTTTTTATTTGGGACTGACTCTATCTGTAGATATATCCTTTCTGCTCTTCCTCTTTCCTGAGACATCTATGTGATGGCTGGCACTCCAGCAGCCATCATGGGCCATGAAGTGGTCTTAAAAACAGAAGTTACAGGCTAAAGATGATTGAGAAGAAAAAGGAAAGACGTCTTGTTTCATGAAAACACCATGAGAATCTATCCCATCCTAGATTATTCCCCCAAATAAAATCTTTTAGTTGATTTAAATTACTTGGCAGATTGCAACAAGAGCCCCAATTATCTCTCTGTCCACTTCATGCTGCAGCTTCCCTGATCAAAAGGTAGCCTAGTTCCCAACTCTATAGTTGTATCCTATGACTTGCTTTGATTTAGAGGATAAGGATACGATACAAGTGACAATATGCTAGCTTTGAGCCTGGGCTTCAAAGGGTCTTGCATGCTTTTATAACCTCTCCAGCGAGCTTATCCAGCTTCTAAAACACAAACCCAGACTAGCCTGTTAAAGGTTGTGAGACTATATGGAGCAGAGATGAGTCATCTCAGCTGAGACCCTCCTAGATCATCTAGCCCCCAGATCATCTGCTGACTATGGACTCATATGCAAGCCCAGTCGAAATCAGCAGAGTAATGCTCTGGTCAGCAGAAGTATCTAGCTGACCCATAAATTTATGAGCTTAGCCACTCACAAGTCACTAAAGTTTGGGATGGTTGGTTTGTTACACAACAGTAGTTAATTGATATTCTAGACCTATATCCCAATATTGAATACCTCCACTTACTAAAGAGTCATCATATAATAAATATTTTCTAATCATCTCTAATAATAACCACCTAACAACCACTCCATAAGAGACGGAGTATTGTTCACATTTTAAAGATGGAGAAGCTGAGATTGGTCCAGGGTTAAATGGCGCCATAAGATAAGCACTGGGCTGTGAACCACAAAATCCCTAATTCAAGCCTGCCTGCCAGACTCTCCACAGGAAAAAGATGGGGCTTTCTGCTCTCTCAAAAGTTTAAAGCCCCAGAAACCCTATACGGGGCTGTTTTGAGTCAAATAGATTTGCCGGCACCTAACAACAACAACAACAAAGTCAAAAAGTACTGCTATCAAATCATAGAAAACTTTGTTAAGCAAAAATATTAAAATGGGAAGCTATTGTTTCTTGGCATATCCTCCATCTAGGACTGTACACTTCTGAAGGTGATATTTCTGTCTCTCCTGGTGTGGCACTGTGGCTTAATGTGCTAGACTGCAAAGTCAGTATGAACTACAAGGTCTGTAGTTCAAAGTCACCAGTGGCTCCTTGGAAACCCAGAACAGGTCGCTATGAGTTACAATCAACTCAACAGCACTTAACAACAACAACTCTTCCCTAAAGAATTCTGTGCTCTTCAAATTACACCCCGTCAGAAGGCAGTTTTGGTATCAATGAATGATTCAAATCATGTTTCTTTTCAATGTTCTTTGAGTTTGGGGAACAAAAAGAAGTTTGAAAGGGAAAGCTAGGGACTGCAGGAGAATGGGGTAAGGTTTCTCATGATGGAAAAAAGTTCTCAGCACCACTTTCCTGAACTTTTTCCTACCAATGTGATTTTAAATTTTCTTTATAATAAGCCCCAGGATCATACTATGTCCTTAAAGAAAACTGATCAAGATTGCTCCTTGGAAATCCCGCCCCCCAAAAAAAAAAGTCACCATAACCTTCTGAATTGAACTGGTACCGCATATTCATTAGAAGCCACTATTTTGATTGGACCTTTTTTTTCAAGGCACCCTAATGAGACTTGTTGTTACGTGATGTCAAATCAGTTTCGACTCATAGCAACCCTGTATAGGGTATCCAAGAAGTGGCTGGTGGGTTTGAACTGCCAACTTTGTAATCGGCAATCCAGTGCTTAGTCTACAGTGCCACACCAGGATTCCTAGGACAAGTGAGAGAATGTTGATCTTGTTTATCACCAAAGTCATTTCCCTAATGTCAATTACTTTTAGGAGGAAACTGACTCCAGTTAGACTCAACATACTCTTCCCAATGCTGCCCCCTTCAGTGGTTTTTGTCACAGTCACCCAGATTTGTAACATGGTTCCCTTCTTCTATTCCTTCCTTTCCCCCCCAGCCGTCAGGACAAGATCCCATCTACAAGGTTTCCTGGTACTCTTCCTCTACCCTCATATGGTCCCACACTGCCACTAAAGAAAACAGCTAGTTACCATCCCCAAACTTCTTCCTGATTTTCAGTGTAGCACATGGTAGCATAGTGGTTACGTACAGTGTAGCTCTGGTAAGCGTAGTGGTTACGAATTGGGCTGCAAACCTTAAGGTCAGGGGTTCGAAACTACCAGCCGCTCCACGGGAGAAAGATGAGGCTTTCTACTCCCGTTAAGATTTACACCCTCGGAAACCCTGTACAGGGTCGCTATGGGTCGGAACCGACTCGACGGCACTTAACAACAACAACATGACTACCCATAGTCAAGACTATGTTTTCCAGCCTCCCTTGCAGCTAGGTGGGGCCAAAGGATTAGGTTCTAGCCAATGAGATAAAAGCAGAAATACTGTCTCTTCTCTCCCACTTCCTCCTGCCTGCTACCCAGAGCTAGAGCATCCATCTTGAACTACAAGGCAGCAAGGTACTACTGGCAGGGAAACAAGTCTTTGTCCCTGGTGACCAAGGAGCTGCTCCACCAGCTCTGGTTGACCTGCCTCCCTCCTCCAGCCTATGAGAGAAAAACCAATGTGCTTGCAGGGTTTCCAATACTTGCAGCCCAACTGACACCTGTCTCTGGCTCTATCATCCACATGCCCACAGAATCCAGCCAGGAATTGCTATATTTAACACCTGCTGGGCCACAGAGCCTCCATGTGTTCCTGCCCATGAGTTTACTCATGCTGTTTCCTCTGCCTGAAGTGCCCTCCTCTTCTCTCTGCCACATTGTGCCTATCCCACTGCACACAAAGGAGAGTCCCCCTCAGGAACTAGTCCCTACAACTGCCAGAGGGGATCTGATCATACCTCTCAAACCCTCCACGCCCCCTCAGGGTAAACCCACAGTCATTACAAGGATCAACAGCATGATCACTTTTCTGCCACATCCCTTAACACTCCCCAACTCCCTCCCTCCACTGCACCACACAGGCTGCCTCACTGCATCTCAGACATGCCAAGTACACCCCAGGGCCTTTGCACACTCTGCTCTCTCTACAGTTGTCCACGTGGCTCACCACCCTCCTCCAGGACTTCACCCCAATGTCTCCTTCTCAGTGAGACTGTCCTCTAGATGTGCCCAGCCCTCATACTGCTTATCAGGGCTTCCCCTCCTCAGCACTCCTCACTCTCGAGTACACTGAACACACATACATACATACATCACAGGTCCTCATCTCCCTGGCTAGAAAGAAAGCCCCACAAGGGGAAGGCACTTCATGCCTTATTTGCTGCTGCATTCCTAACAACTAAAACAGGGCCTGACACACACTGGTACAGAATAAATATTTCTTGAATTCATTGAACAATAATTAAGGATCGATGGTGTTTTTCTACGCAAGTGACAGGTCCCCACCCCACCAGGTGTGCGTGTCACCCCAACTGAGGAGCCCAAGCCCTCTTTCCCTTGAGGATTCCAGACCCCGCCCAGCCTTGCCCACCCTCTGGGTCAAGCTTGCCTTGTATAGGGAGATGCCACAGGTGTCGTCGTCCTCGGCCCCACAGGCCTCACCCTCCTTGGCCCCCAGGATGCCAGCCATGCAAGTCTTCTCCTTTAAGTAGGCAGTGCAACAGTGTTTCTGAGCTATCCTGCGACAGAAAGTGTGCTCAGCCCTACCCACGTGCTCCTGCACGCACGGGCCAACAGCATTCCTTCCAGTGACCTGCTCCATCTCACAGAAAGAAAACTGAAGCTCCAAGAAGGGACATCCCCTCTGTAAGGGTCACACCATGAGCAGGAGTCAGTCAGTGCTGGTAGCTGGGCATCAATAGAGGCTGGCCATCCCTGCCACACGAGGCGGATTTCACATCCTGACTCAGCAAAGAGCAGTATAATATGACCCAGCAATGAGGGAGGGGGGGTCGGCACACAGAGCCCCTCACAGAACTGAGAAGGACATGGAGAATCAACCCCAGGAAAAGCTGGAGAAGCACAGCTTCCAGAACTCCAGCCCCTGCCTCCCAATGTGTATAAGGTTGCCAAAGGCCGAGGTGGCTCAGGAGTCAGAACCAGGACCTGAAGGTAGGAGAGGGCCCCAGGAGACAGGTTTCAGCACCACTGAGCAAGGACAGCATGGCGATGGAGCCAGCGTCCATGATGTGGTAAGTTTCTCATCACCAGAGGGATACAAGCATACAACAGGGCTGCTCAGGTCTCAACTTTGGTACCCATGATGTGAGCTTATTTGGAAACAGGGCCTCTTGCAGATGTAATTAGGTAGCAGGAGGTCATACTGGTAGGCTGGGACCCAGTCCAATATGACTGATGTCCTTCTAAAAGAGGAGAGACGCAGAGATTGACAGACACAGGGAGGTCAGGTGATAAAAGATAAAGAGATTGGAGTGAAGCAGCCACAAGCCAAGAAAGACCAGGGCTATCAGAAGCTGGGAGAAATAAGAGTAAATTCTCTGCTAGAGCCTTTGGAGAGAATATGGTCCAGCTGACACCCTGAATTCGAACTTCTGGCCTCCAGAATTGTTGCTTTAAGCCACCCAGCCTGTGGTGTTTTGCTCAGTACTCCAGGGGTGTGATGGTACATGTTAAGCTGCCAAGTAGCCTCAAAGAGTGTATTGTCAGAAGGGAAAGAAAAGGGACACATTGGAATTTAATTTTTTTCTAAAGAAGGCAGAGTGGCTGGATGTAACAAAACATGGGGAACAATCCTAAACATACTGTCAATGAGTATGGCACCGTGCATGTTGCCTCACTAAACCCCATCTTCTTTGGCTGGGAAGATGAGTAGATTGGAAAGATGGAGGGAGTCCCTGAGAAAAGAAGGTAGTTGGCTGACAAACACTCGTCTAGGACCCAGTAGAAGCCATGGGTATGAATGATGGCTTTTTTGAGAACTACAGAGGCAGAGGGACAATCACACAGAGAACAGAGCAAAGAGGTAAGAGGCCAACCTTCTGGGGAAAGAGAATGGGAGTGGGGGACAAGGAAAGAAACCTGTGTCAAGTACTGCAGTGAGTGAGATGTGTCTCCCGGCAGGATGGCCCTTTGATGCGGCTGGCAATGGTAGCTGGCTACTAACTTGTGTGGTTTGTTTATTCCTGAGGCCAGGTTTGGGCTATCCACATGGCCCACAGCAGCCACATCCAAGGGCCCTGGTATACTTGGAGGCAAGCACAACAGGGGCTGGGGTCCAAAGCCAGCAGGGATCTGGAGGGTCCCACCTACCTGCAGCTGTCACCTTCCACGCCATTCTCAGGGATGTCTGCGCATTCGTCATTATCTATGGCCCACTGCTGCCCAGCCGCACAGCATGACTCGATCAGGTCCTTGGTGGAGACTGGGGACAGAAACATGGGAAAGAATCACCACTTGAGCAGGATGTAGTTCCAACGGGTCTAGAGTCACTGAGTACAGGAGATGCTGCTGAGGCCCATCCAGAGCCCCCACCCCATCCAGACCATGCACCTGGGTTGCTTATAACTCATAACTCTAGCTCTCTTCAGACAACTACCAGGGGTTCAAGGTTCCCATGGGGGTGTGAGAGAGTACAACCAACAGATAGCTCACAGGGGAAAGGTGGGGGGCCTTGCCACTTGTCTCAAAGGAGACAGCTCTATGGTGCCATCACACCACACCCAGAGCCCCCCGAGCGATCAGCTGAGGCTGGACTGCAACTGGTCCATCCTGACAGGACTCCCCAGGAGAACCATATACACAAAAATCCCCTGAGAGCAGCTCGGGGGAAAAGCAGAGAGTTACCTACAAAGAAGAACCAGTAAGACTAAGCTCTAGATGCACGAAGGAGATTGAAATCATTGCAATGAAATGATGAGTGTAAAATTGGTGTTCGCCCATGTAAACTATCACTCAATTCACAATAAAAACTTAAAAAAATAAAAATGACTATGCTCTATTTCTCAACAGAAATCATGCAGGCAAGAAGGCAATGAGAAGACATACACAAAACTGTGGAAGAAAAAACTGCCAACAGAGAATCATATATCCATCAAAACTGTCACTCAAATACGATGGCAAAATTAAAGCATTTCCAGAAAAGCAAAAATTAAAAGGAAATTGTAATAACAAGACTAACTTCATAGAAAATGCTAATGGGAGTTTTTGGACTGAGAACCAACAACCTGAGACTGGCATAAACAACACCACCATCCAGAATTCAGCCCATATATGGTGGTTGGTGGTTATGTGCCGTGCAGTTAGTTCTGACTCATAGCGACCCTGTACAGGGTTTCTGAGGCTACAAATCTTTATGGGAGCAGAAAGCTTCATCTTTCTCCCGTGGAACAGCTGGTAGTTTCAAACTGCTGACCTTGCGGTTCACAGCCCAATTCGTAACCACTACGTTATAATCCATATATGGGTTGTATGCAAAGTAAAGCAAACATAAAAGACTGAAAATAGGGAACCAGAGATATAAATTTATAATGAAGCCAACTATAGAGAGGAAAAAAACAAAAAGAAAGAAAAGTGTAGTTACAGAACTTACAAATGTCGCGGATGCCAAGTAGATTTCTTTTTTTTTAAAAAAAAAAAGCAACTGTTTTAAACTGGGGAATAATTTAATAAATAATAAGGTAACTTCAAAGAAAATTAATACACTTTCACATCAGAGGTAGAGAAAGGAAAACCATAAATATTAAGTAAACAATAAAACAACAGCAATGAAGAAAATGCACAAACAAAATGAAGTCAACACAAAATTATGTGGAACAAAGAAACAAGCAGAACCGCATAGAACACACAGCAAAACGACAGCAATCAAGTCTCATACCCATCGATAATTACACTTAACAGTAATGGGTTAAATGTACCAGTTAAGAGACAGAGAGTAGCAATATGATCCTTCAA